TCTGTGTGTTAGACAGACGTGATAACCAACTACACCAAGAAACCACACACTCTCTTCCACAACCAAATTATGTTTTAAAGTCAAACCCAGCACAGTTTTACTTTTACCTCTTTTTCTCTATAACTACTATATCAAACCTATCTGTTTTTTGCAGCAGGATTGATTGTCATAGTTGTTTTTATATATCTACCAATTTTCATTTTTTTTAATTGACTTTTTTTCAAATTGTTGGAATCATCATTGCAATCATCTTCACATCTGCGCCGAAATCACTCAAGATTGTCAGCATCTCCAACTACATCTCGATTGCCTGTACCTCTGTTATCGTCTCCAGCTCTTTTCTCCTTCTCTGAAGGTGGTTCTGGTGTTTTACCATCAACTTCGCACTTTTTTGTCCCAGTTTCAGACCTTTCTTTTTCTGCTTTGCCTGCTCCTGGTTCCCACGAAATTTTTTTTCAAGCTCCTCCAACAATGATTGGTTCCCAAAAACAGGTGATTAATTCCACTGGCCGCCCTACTCCCACTGCTCTCATTTTGTCTGGCCTCAAGGCAGACTTTAAAAAATTGCACAATGTTTTGTCCTGTTCACATTGCCAGACTACAGGCAAAATTGTTTCTAATGGGTCTACTTCTCGTACTGGTAGCCCACAGTTTAAATGCAAATGTGGTGCAACATTTACTGCTTCATCCATGCAATCTTTGATCAATGCAGTCCAACACAAAATTCCTGAAGTTCATTCTGCAAGTGAGCCTGTTGTGTCCCCTTCTGTTTCCATCTTGGGTCATAGTATTTCCATGGCAGATATCCATGAAATTGAATCTGACATTGCACCTGTTCTTCCAACTGTAATGCCCACTCTTCAGGATATTTGGGACCGTTTCCAGGCTTATGATGAACGTCTTTCTGCATTGGAGGCTGTTCAAAAAGAGAACATTGAGTTGCGTAAGGCTCTTGCTACTGCAAACGCCACTATTGCACGTTTGACAAAGGAGAATGTTGATTTTTCTGTTGGTGCTGCAGCATCCAAATATGCTACTATTGCTGCCTCTGTTCCAGTTGTTTCTCAGGCTGATTTTCCATCACTTCCTGCATCCCAGACCCATCATTCCACTGAACCCACCAAGACTTTCGTTTCTAAAACACCACGTAAAAGGGCTCCAACTGCTAGGGCCATTGCTGCTGTTGTTCGTGGCATGACAATTAAAGAAAATGCTGATCAGGGGTTTCAAATTGTTTATGTACCTAATGCTATCTGTCTCCCCATTAGTACTCAACGTCAACGTCTTAGGAAATTAAAGATAGACAATGCACGTGTGCTGGATCTCCACTATCCTGATCGTAAGGTGATGGGAATGCTTGTACATAATGAGTATACTCCTGAGCTCAAGACTATCTTGGCGAGTTATGGTGTTACTACTTTGGATAACTTTGATCCTCTGGACCCTGTTCACCTCCGTGACCCAGCTCTGGCCTCTCTTTCACTTGATGATAGGGCAACAAAAGCTATACATGTTCACAATGATTGTATGCTATGTGCCATTGAATTCATTAGGGCTCCTGTCAAGTTTGCTGTTGCACGTTCCTTTTGCTCTCAGGGATGGATTAGTGATGACCAACTAGCTGAGATTGTTCCCCCACGACCCACCAAAAAAGACTTGGACATCTCTATACATACTGCCAGCATCACCATCCCTTCATTCTCTGATCTATGAATCCAGTAACAATTACATTATGGAATGCAAATGGTCTTGCAAAACAGACCATACCTACGATCCTTTCATATGCTCCACTTACTTCCCTTCTTTTTATCACTGAAACGTGGCTTTTGTCCCCCCATCGTTATCCTACTTCTTGGCAGCAGTACCATACCTATGGTCAGTCTGTCCCCAATGCTAGCCGTGGCTGCATGGGTATTTCTCTTCTTGTAAATCCTTCTTTCCCTTACCCCATTTCTATTGTTCCTTCTTCTTCTCCTTATGTTCTTTCTTGTATTGTATTTGATTGTCTTATTCATTGCATTTATCTTCCCCCTTCTCTTTCTAATGACGATGCAATTTCTATTCTTTATGACCTCCCCCTCTCTTCTCCTTCTATTCCTTCTTCTAACACTATTTTTTGTGGTGATTTTAATTCACATATGGGATCCTTTCTTGGTGACCATGCTATCACTTCGCGAGGAACTTCTTTTCTTCAGTGGATCCAGGCAACTGGTCTCACTTGTTGGAATGAATTACTTGCATTTGGTATTCCTACCTTTCTTTCTGGTGGCTCTGGTACCTCACGTTCCAGTATCATTGATTTATTTCTTTCTACGTCCCCCCTTCTCAATCCTTCTATGCAAATTCGTTCTGATCTTTCTTTAGGCTCTGATCACAAAATGGTCAACCTCACTTTCACTCCCTATGTTTCACCTCCCCCTCCCCCTACTAATCATCCGCGCCTACTTTGGAATCTTTCCAAGCTTGCTCAGCCTGACACTCTCAAGATCTACATTGATACAGCTTCTGGGTCATTGGACAATCTGACAGAGCAGTTCAGTGCTTTCCTTTCTTCTTCTTCTCCTCCTCCTGTAGATTCTCTGTGCTCTGCTTTTGCTCAAGCTATCTATGATGCTCTGGACACTGCTGTTGGTCGTCGTACACCACGTACCATGCAAAAGTACTGGTTCTGGTCAGTGGACCTTCAAGAAGCAATGGATCTGAGAGAACGCAGCTACCAACGCTGGCGTCATTCTAGTGGTTTGCAGAAGGCTATATGCTGGATGCGCCATCAGGATGCATGTCATGCTGTTAGGTTATCAGTCCAGCATTGTCGACGTGAAACATGGAAAGAATTCTGCAACAAATTGGCAACACAAGACTTTGCAAAGACAACAGCAACAATGAAACGTATTAAAAGCCATCGTCAAACCAGTCCTGTCTTTGTGGATCCTGGTGGACCTCAAGTAGCTGCTAACAAAATGGCTGATCATCTTCAACAGATTTTCTCAGGTCAATTTCTTCCTGCACGCCGCCCTCCAGACCAGACAGTGATGATTTCATCACCAATTGCAATTGATGAATCATGTCCTTTTACTCATCTTTCTGTAGAGAGTGCAATTCTCAAGCTTCCTACACGCAAGGCTCCTGGTATTGACCATCTTCGTGCTGAAATGCTTCACCCAATTGTTAAGCAAGTCTCTCCTGTTCTTTGTCTTTTGTTCCAGCTTTGTTGGCAATGGGGTTCTGCACCTCTTGCATGGCGTACTGCACAAGTTGTCCCCATCTTTAAAAAGGGTGATACTCATGACCCTGCTAACTATCATCCCATTAGCTTAACGTCTATCCTGAGAAAAGCCATGGAATATTGTCTACAGTTTCCTCTTGAAGATGTGTCTCCAACAATTGACATTGCACAGGGTGGATTCCAACGTCAACATAGCTCCCTTGATCAAGTTCTTTGTCTCCATGAGATGGTCCGTCGTCACACAGCTCTATTCAAAGCACCACCAGTCTTGGCTTTTCTTGATATCAAGTCTGCATATGACACTGTTGATCGTTCTGTAGTATGGACATCGTTACGTCCTCTTGCCTCTGATGCTATGTTAGCTTTGTTACAAAGTCTTTTTGACAATGTTCAAGTTGAGGTGTTGCTTTCTGGTGCAACATCCAGATCATTCCAACCATTGACTGGCGTTATGCAAGGATCTGTGCTTTCTCCCCACCTTTATTCCGTGTACATAAATTCTCTACCAGTTGCTCTTCGTGCTGCAGGGGAACTTTGTAACACAGTATTTAATCAGACTGCTGCCACAAGACTCAATGATCAATTAGTCAATTCACTACTTTTTGCTGACGATGTTGCCATCATTGCTACACCAGAAGCTATGCCTGTCATTCTGAATTCTGCTGAACAACATTCTCAAGAGCTAGGATATCGTTGGAGTCCCACCAAGTGCATGATCCTTCATCATTCTTGTTCTCTTTCTCCTTTGTCATTCTCTCTCTACAATGTGCCTATTCCTCATGCTCATTCGTTTCCTTACCTTGGTGTTCCCTTCTCAGCAAAGGGGACTATTGATCCATCTCTTCTCATCTCTCGTAATTGTGTCTCTGCTATCAACAGCATGCGTGCTCTTCAATCACTTGGTGTCAATCACACTGGGTTGTCACGTCTACTCTCAATTCGTTTGTATCACCAGTTTATTCGTCCACAATTTGAGTATGGCCTGGCAATATCCTGCTTCAACATCAAACAAGTTGCTGTGCTTGAAAAGGCCCAGAACACATGCTTACGCATGATTTTTGGAGGTCACTCCACATCTTCTACATCTGTTTTCCGTCACCTTGGGAATCTTTCTAGCATGAGGGAGAGGATCTTGACTCTTGGTTTCAAGTTTGTATATCGTGCTTTCTGGTTGCCTGATGAGGCTCTGTTTACTCTTCTTCGACCTGTTCTTACAAACCCAGCACACCAATGGTTTAAGCTTTTAGCTAATCCCATTTGGTTGTCTCTCTCCAATCGTCAGAATGCTGATTCTAAAGCTTGCAAGCATGCCATTCGTTCATTTTTGAACCAGGGCCTCTTCTTGCAACGCTCTCAACAAATACTTCTCTCTGCTTGCCGTCCTTCTCCTGGTGTTGACCCTATTCTCTGGCTTCCCATGACTAACTATGAACGTAGTAGATTCATACGCTGGCGTATGGGATGGCTTCCTGGACGTCCTCAACCTTGTTTCTGTGGATTGCATACCACCAGCCGTCATCATATCATTGAGTGCACTGGAGCTGCAATTCGTCTCCATCTCTATTCTACAGTACAACCCAATCCAATTGATTATGTACTCAATATGCTGCCTATGAAGAAACTTAAAAACAACAAGAACAATGCCTTCTGGATCTTTACTTGGCCAATTCTTTGTAGAATAATGTTGGACATAGAACAGATCTGTCTCCCTGGGGTTGATCTTGCTGATCATGCTGCAACAGACAGAGGACAACTCTTCTTAAACTGGCTACCCAAATGAGACTGGCCATCTCCTTTTATTTTTAGTTTAGATCTGTATTAGTCTTAGTTTCTATTTATTGCATGAATTTCATGCATGCTTCATATTTTATCCTTATCTCCCTTTTTTTGTATCCCCTAGCTTAGTTTCCCTTTCTAGTTTTTCCCATTTTCCCCCTTGGGTTTTTTTCCTATCTTTTATTTTTACTTGTACTCTTAAAGATGGGCAATAGCTCTACAGTGCGTGTGCCCACTAGTCTTTCAATAAAAAGCTTTTATCTATACCAAGAAACTAATACTTTCTTTGATATTTGTGGTACTTTGTTGTGTGTATGATGTGTACAAGAAAAGCAAAGTAAGGGTAATAATAGAAATTGAATCTGTCATGAGATAGGGTTTTTTATATAGGAAAACAGTTTTATAAAAATATAAAATAAATAAAAGAAATATTTCT